ATGTTTTGTAAAAAAAAAAAAGTATAACAAATTGCAGTTTATTTTGTTATGTTGGATAAATACTGTTAAAAGAAACCAGTCAGTAACTATATTGTTAATCCATGGTTAGGAAATGTTTAGTTGGAGATTACAAAATGAAACAACCATTGCAATACAGCCAAAGATTTGGGAAAATGTGCAACTGTGATTGTCTTGATTTTGCAATTAGGAATGGCTGATTCTCCTGGAAGAAAAAGGTAAGAGCTCAAATATTCGTTAAATATATTTTTTGCCAGATAATCAAAAATTAGCCCAGTAAATGAAGTGATATGATGTAAATTGATTTGGCCATTCTGAACAGTCACAAAGTTGGTCCCTGAGAAAGTTTAGTCCCTGGCATCTCTAGCTTCCCCCTCTACACCACCCGGCCCCCTCCCACAGCTCCCACCGGTGGGACACTTAGCAAAGGAGGGAAAATGAGCCTTGGTCTCCAGGAAGTGAAGGGGGAGGGAAGTGGTCTATAAATCCCCAGACTGGGGATCACTAAGGCAGGGCTCTAGTTGTGCTGGCCTCACACCATGGGCGCAAGATCCAACTCTGCCTCAGCCCTGTCTACCCTCCCTGGGATTCAGGTGCCTGAAGGATGTAGCTGGACCTGGAGGACATTAACTGCCCAATGTTTACTGGGTGACAGGTGTGATCCTAGACATTGGGGATATGCTGATAAAGTAAATATAATTTCTGCTCTTAAAGAGCTTACATTATAAAGAGAAGTTGGCATGCCTAACAATACACTTAGAAAATGGAGTTCAGAGAAAAGATTCCAGGTGTTAAAGGTCCTCTCAGTGAAGTGCTACAGTCTTACAGTCTGCATTTCCATGTCTTGGATAAAGTGATAGGAACACACTGATAAGAAAAGTGGAAACTATAATACAATGGCCTGTATCTTCATTGCTGTAAGTACAAAGACTTTTCTAAAAAGCTCAAACTGGTGTTTCTGTAGGGCCTGGCCTTTTGAAGAGACTTTGATTATGCTCTTAGGACATAATGAAATTGAAGGTCAGTGAAAGTAATACAACAAAGTGCTTTTGGCTATAGAATCTAGACATGACTTTTAAAATCTCTCTTGGCTGCTTATCAGATAACCTTCTGTAAGTTAATTCACAGCCTTGACTTCTTTGCCTATAAACTAAGAAGGTTTGTCTTGTTATAAAATGAGACACTATAGAAGAAATGTGAAGAAGAAAGTTCCATTATCTCTGACATAATTGAGAAAGGGTTTGGGTTTGGCCTGCTGCATTATTTATGTCCTGCTTTAACATTCCTAAACCTTCCTTTGACCACCAAGAAGCTGCTGCCTCTCTCCTGTCCCCCACTTTCCCTTCCCACATCTGCTGCTTTGTGCTTTTTCATCAGGGTCAAAAGATGGTACTCACATTTTCTTTCCCAATCCCAGACTTACCTGGCTGCTTGAATACCAGTCTTTCCCACCTGTTTCCTGATAACCCCTTGTCACTCCCTGAGGAAGTGAAAAGGAAAGCTTGGTGACAAGAGTCAAGGACAAAAAGGGTCATGATCCAGCAGAGATGTTTGGGGAAGATGGGAGGATTCAGAGGAAATCTTTAGGGTTGGGACTGATGGTTTTGCCTTACTGAAAAGGCATTGATCAGCTAAAGCTAACATAACTTAGTTCAGGTATATGTTAAGAAAGGGATTCGGAATCTCAATCTCCTGTACCAGTCAGATCTGATTTGACGGTACACGCACAAAAAATAATTTTTTTTTTTAAAAAAAAGGATTCGGGAGTCAGCTTAACAACACACACATAGACACTATTAGCCCTGAAAAGAGTAAAACATAGTCAAGTTGTCACAGAAAAGCCAATTCCCTCGAGAGATTTAATACATACGCCATAAAAGCATACAACAAAATGTCCATTTCTGAAAATTAACTACCAACATTTTCTTCTCTGCTGTTCCAAAATTGTTAGCATGAAAATACATCTATAACAAAAATAAAGCCCTGCAAGGATAATCTTAAGCGGATTCAGATTTGCTGCTCATAGGATCGCTGTAAGTTGCAGTCAATTCAATGTCACATAACAAGAGTAGTTAAAAATCTTGTCTAAAATTGCCTCCATCATTACAGCTCTGGATTCAAAATGCCAGGGTTCGGTGTTCCCTTCCACTGGGGAGATGAGAGGAAGTTGGGATTTGAGAGTACACAAGAGAGTACACGATGAGGAAGAGACCAGTCCACAAGAGAAATGGGGTGCCATTAGGAAATGAGAAAGATCTGAGTAGACCAAAAATGACATATCAATGACAGTTTTCAGGACTTAAAGATCCTGCTTGCTTTTCCTCCCAGCCAAGTGTATTATCTTCCATAGTTTATTTGACCATCCTTAATAATGGACAACTGATGTGCCTAAGAAAAGACCATAGTCCTTTATTGTTAAGCCTCTGAAAGGGCTCAAACCCAGCAGCCACACATGCAACAAAACAAAACATTGCCTGGTCTTGTGCCTCCTCATAATCACTGCTGCGCTTGAACCCACTATCCAGGCTTAAGAGTAACAGCCCCAAAGCTGCAAATGCTTTAAATGGCCCTGCCACATTTTCATTAACAATCTCGCTTTGAGAGAGGAAAAGAAATCTTGCTCTATAACAAAGCACATGTTCTGTGCTCAGTAAACACACTGAAATAGTGAACAGTTTTTTGCTGGATAGTTATCTTTTGCTTTGACTCTGAAAATAAGTGCTTTCCTAGCACCATCTGCTGGCACCAACAACAACCAACAGCCAACAACCATTACCTGAAACCTAGCCTCTTAAGTTCCTTACATCTGGAAGTTTTATTACAAAAAAAAAAAACACAAACCCTGGTGGGTTCTGACTGATAGTAGCCTACAGGGTAGGGTAGAACTGCCCCAGAGTTTCAGAAGACAGAGATCTGCATACCTTTCCCCTTGTCAAGTAAAAGAAGAGATGAGGGAAAGAATGATGAGCAAAGAATGGTACCAGAGGAGAACTTAGAGGGCAAAATGGAGCAAGAAATAGAAATGATGAAGTTAATGAACGAGGTTCACCTCCTTTAACTCCACAAAGGGAAGAAGGTGAATAGCTCTATAAATGCCTGTGCTGTAAATATGTCTCAGAAGAGGAAGTACAGGCAGTACAAGAATAGAAAAGGTGGACTCAACAGACCTCTGCACTTCAGTGCATGAGAACTGAAGTGTTGAATAATGCTTTCTTTCCCTCCTCATCTTGGTCAAAAGAATGGCTTTAAAAAAAAAAGAATGGCTTTTAAATGTTTTTAATTCAATATGCATCAAAACCAAGATCTCAGTTCTTGCTCCCGACAAATACATATCATTTGGGGTAATAACCCCATTTTGTTTGCCCTTCTTCCTGTGGAAACTATGGTTGGTTTGGTGGTGTGTGGTGGTGTTTTTTCCTTGAATGCTTGTTAGGACTTTTCTAAAAAAGCATAACATAATTTGGATAAATGTTTCTCCAGTAAAGCAATACTTCTACCAAAAAAACCAATCAAACAAAAACATATCTAGACCAAGAAGCTATTGTTCAATTAAGGGGAAATTGCATTGTTTAAAATCAAGAAAGGTGTCAGTCAGGGCTGTATCATTTCTCCATACCGGATCAATCTGTATACTAAGCAAATCATTTGAGAAGCTGGACGTTATAAAGAAGAATGCGGCATCAGGATCAGAGATTCTCATTCATTAACCTCTTTTGCAGATGAGATAATCTTGATGAAAATGAGAGGAAGATTTGAAACACTTCTTGCAGAATATAAAGATCAAAGACTTCAATATGGATCATATCTCAACATCAAGAAAACAAAAGTCCTCAGCACTCAGCCAATAGAATTATTGAATGATGAAGAAGAGACAGAAATTGTCAATAATTTAATCTTGGGTCCACAATCAGCACCTTGTTAACAGTAGTCAGGGAATCATATTGCATTGGGATAATCTTTCAGGGACTTCTTACTCCTTCGGGAAAGTCTCACCATCCTTCCTTCTAAGGTGAACCCTAGTTGCACTTGCTCCAAGATAGACATGTTACTTTGGCAGCCTGTGGAATATATTCTTGTCCAACACCACAATTCAAAAGCATAGCTTTGTCTTACTGTCCCAACTTTCAAATACATAGGAAGTAACTGAAAGAGCCATAAATAAATTAGATCAGGCACACCTTAGTCTTAAAACTGACACCTTGTAAAGGTCCCTGGAGGCAGATTTTCCCAGTACAACACGTGTTTTGATTTTTAAAAATTAATTGATATTTTAACGAAAGTTTACATAAAACTTGGATTTCTATTCATTCTTTGTTAAAACATTTTCCTCCCAACCTCTTCCCCCAGCAGTTTGCTTTTCTCTTTAAAACAATTCTTTCATTGTGGCTCAAGGGTTTTGATTTCTTGACTTCCTTTACTTTGGGTAGATCCTAGCATTATTAGGCAGATTAATTTTTATACTCATTTTGTAAGGAAACTGAGGTAACGAAAGGGTTAAAAAACTTGCTCAAGGGCACAATGAAAGAACCTGACAAACAGTTCAGAAGCTACAACTCTTATTCACGCTCAATCTCTCACAATCACCCCCACCCACGTGTCAACCCAAGCCCCTCAGGTCTAGGGAGGAGCCTCTCAGGATCTTGCGGAGTTTCCCTTTAAGAATTCACTCGGAGCTGGGGGCGGGGTCAACGCTACAGCGGAAGTGGTAAGTCATGGTGGGAAGCGTATTCTTGTTTACAGCTGTGCTTCGCAGCGCAGCAGGATTTGAGAGACTGTAGCTTAAACAAAAGGGGTTGGATTTTCAAGATAACGTGAACCAGAGAAAGCGGCGAATGAGGTTTTCTGCAACTTTTGGTAGGGATCAGAAGACTTCTCTGCGGTTCCGGCCAGAGCTCTACGTCTCTATGGTTATGTAAACATAGAGCGGCTCCTATCCCCACGTGCTAGAGCAGCGCTTGAGCAGTAGCCGCAGCGTTGGAAAGATGGCGGAGGAAGAGTAAGTATTTGGGGATTTGAAATTCTGGAAAAGGGGTGTTGAGCATCCGATGCCATCTGTAGTCTGTGTGTCTCAGTAGCAAAAAGTGATTTTTGCAAGTTGTAGGAAAAGATAGATCAAGGGGGCTGGTTGTTATGTGCCATCGAGTTGTCTGCGATTCGTAGCGACATTGCTTCTGAACCGTCATCTCTCCTGAGCCAGTGTCACTGACTCCGACACATCTACCCCATTTACTGTGTTAGCCCACCGTATCCAGGGTTACCCCCTCTTGGCGCTGTCTCTCGCACCCTTCCAAATACTGGACCCTCCTGGCGTGAGAGTTGAGACGTAAGGCCAGGTTTTGTGGCCGAAGGGGCCGCCGTCCAATTCAGGTTTGGAGGAAAAATATAGCAGTTGCCCCCCAGGCCTGGTAACTCCTTGAGAAACCGGATAGTTTCAAGGGCAGCCAGGACAAAGACCAGAGCAAACGATAAATCATGATAAGTCTCTGGGCCTGATCAGAAAGTCCCGACTAGAGTTCATTAACAGCCTCAGAGTTCAAGAAGTACCATCTACCCTACTCCTTCCCAAGACCCCTATAAAAAGGGACTACCCTTAATTGCGGGCGCGCCATTCTGACTTTCTCTGCTCCTAGTCAGTTGACTGACTCCCTCTCAGACCATGCAGTGAAGGCCTGTTCGTGTGGTGGTGTTTTTTTTAATTAATTTTAATAAAAGTTTACAGAGATTTTGTATTTCCATTTGTTCATTGTTGCCCTTTTCTCCCTGCCCACCCCTTCGCCCCAATTCGCTCTGCTCTTTGAAAAAAAAAAAAGGAAAATTCTTTCATTGTTTATATAGTCCTCCCCCAAGTTCACTCCACTATGCAGCCTTCATTCTGGACTCCTGTCTTGGGACCTGTTTCTTCCCCCCTCCTTTTCTAAGAAGGTTGCTTAACAGAAAGTTGTTAAGACACTGACAGGAGTGTGGTGGAGTTGGCTTCACCTGGCCCCTTCTGTACTTTTCCTGAAGATGTTTCTTCCCTTGCCCCAGCCCCACGAGGTTTTGTCAGAATCTTAACGTTGCTAATGGTCTGTTGCTAAAGCTGTCTTTAGTGAGGCTAGTAACTAAAAACTAGGCTTAGTCCCTAGGCTTCGAGAATGACTGAATGTTAAGGAGTCATTTTGAGGGTGGGAGTCAAACTCCAGTTTTCGTGGGGGGGGGGGAGCTATGGGAGCTCAACTCTTAAGAATTTGAAGATAGTATTTGCACAGAGGGAGCTCTGGTGGCCTACTGATAAGCTGTGCTGCAGTTTCGAAGACATGATGGTCAAACCCACTAGCTTCTCCGTGGGAGGATGTTGGGTAATCTCCTGTTTGATTAACCCTTTTTGAAAATCCTCTGGAGGGTCAGCTGTGGGTCTTTCCGACTCCACGATACACAACAAAACAGTAGCACAAAGCCTAAAGTAATTGAGTTGATTTGGAAATCTGTTAAAGCCTTGTTTCTTAAGTATTTTTATCCTTGATCTTATTTACCGTCAGGCCAAGAAAAAAAATCCCGTTGGTTCCAGAAAATCTCCTGAAAAAGAGGAAGGCTTATCAGGCCCTCAAAGCAACACAGGCCAAGCAAGCACTTTTGGAAAAGAAGAAGGTAAGGTGGGGGAGCCAGGATGAAGGAATTAAAATTTGTAATCTACCAGATGCTCTCTCTCTGCCGCAGAAAGATGGGAAATCTTGTGTGCTGCTGCCTCTGAAAACCTGCTTAGATGGTCAGCTTTGAATTGTTTTCAGCTCCACAGCACACTGCATGTTAACCTGAGACTTGGTTGTCTGGAAGGACCATCCTTAGAAAAAGATGTAATGCTACGGAGAAAAGGTGGTAGGTTAGAGAAAGAGGGGAGGACTCTCAACAAGATGGACTGACAGAGTGACTGAAACAGTGGCTTTGAGTAAATCAGAAATGAGGAGGGTGGCACAGGATGAAGCAGAGTTAGTTCAGCTCTTTTGTTTGTAGAATAGCTATGAGCTACTAGAGGTGACTCGATGGCATTGAACAACAATCCTTGCCTCAGTTTAATTATACTAGCTGGATGGTTTGTGCCCTCCTTTTCAGCTATTCACTGAACGCCTTTTGTGGGCAAAATACTGAACTAGAATATGTTAAGGAAGAGGGAACACGGTTGGTACGTTTTAGGTTCGTTTTTGAGTGATAGGAGAACCCACAAACTCTTGGTATTTGTTGTTTTGGGAGAAATTACATAGATATTTTGGAGTCAGAAATTTTCCCTTATTACTGTTTTGTGATTAATGGTTCTCTAAATGCTTGTTGGTAAACATTGTTTAAGAGCAAATAAATGAACTTCTTATTTGTTGATTTGTCAAGGACTTGCCCGGTCATTTCTGAGTCTCCTTAAGTTCGTAGTTTTTCTTTTTCTGAAAATGGACGATATTTGTTTGCAGCCTTTTGCAGAACACAGGAGGATGTTAGCTCTTGTCAATAGTGACTCAAGAGGAACTGAAGCAGAAAATGGTGATGATTTTTCTCTTCTCTGTAGCAGAGGAAAGGGAAGGGGCTCAGGTTCAAGCGACTGGAATCATTCCTGATTGATTCACGGCGACAGCAGCGTGACACAGTACGCCTCAGACGACTAGAAGTGAAGCCTCATGCCTTTAAGATGCCAGATGAACATTCCTTGGCGTTTGCAGTGCGCATCCGGAGGTAGGACACTGGGGTCTCAACAGGTCTTTGGGGCTGGAGCGAACCTTTGATTCAACATTGGAGCCTTTTATGTAGAGATGAGGTGGGAGCTTGTTTTAAGAATTTGGAGTTGAGCAGCAAGCATAGTTTCCCCCTTCATGCTTCAGGAGCCTGAACATGCAATAAAGTATGGAATTCTTTGGGTGAGGGTGGAGCTGGATGCACACTGAAGTAGGACCTTGAAACTGAGACCTAAAAGATAGGAAGAGAGCTTCCATTTGGGGGGAGAGGGGGCAGGTTTTTCCAGGCAAAAAATAGAAAAATCCCAAGATGTGGGAATCAAAGCACCTTTCTTCTTCTTCTTTTTTATTTTATTTTATTTTATTATTTTTGTGTGAGTGTACCATCAAATCAGATCTGACTGGTACAGGAAGAGATTGTCCCTCCTTCACCGGCAGAGCATCTGGTGGATTAGAACCATTTGCCTCTGGGATTGTAGTTGCAGCTCATTGCCACTGGGCCACCAGAGCTCCCCTCAAAGCACCTTTTTAAGGCACTTATTCAACAAGACCAGGTGAATGGGGCATAGCCAGTGATGAGAAGGATGCATAAAGCCATTTTCAGTATCTCACACTTTGAATCTTACTCAAACATGCCAAATACAACTCACCCTCTTTCTGATCTTCTGCTCTATCTCCCAACCCAGAAGTCTGAGTTTTTCCCTACCATTGCTCAGGATCTCTTTGTTGAAATTTGACATTCTAACTTTTGTGTTTGTTTAATTTTTTTATTTTTCTTTGTTGTGTGCCGTCAAATTGGATCTGACTGGCACAGGAAGAAATTGCCCCTCCTTCTCTAGACATGTATCTGGTGGATTCGAAATTGGATTTTCTTGATTCCAGTGTCACACTCAGGTCTGCTTTCAGTGACTGTCAGAAAGAAATCTTAAAATCTTCCGTGGTAGAAGCAAATCTCAACTTCTTTGACATATGTACCTTTAGATACCCTCTCAGAGGTCATGTCTTTGTTATCCTAGCATCCGAGGTATGCCTTATATCACAGGAAAACCATCTGTTTACTGCCTCTCACTGACCAGCTCTTGGAAGGAGCAGTGTATCTTTCTCTCAGGATAATCAGTGTAGTAGGACACGTCCCATAATTGTCATAGACTGGATGGATCCTGACTGTTTTGCTGTTGTTCACTTCAGGATTAATGGGGTGAGTCACCTGGTGCGGAGGACCATTGCAAGACTCCGCCTGAAGAAGATTTTCAGTGGCGTCTTTGTCAAAGTGACCCCTCTAACTCTAAAAATGCTGCGTACAGTGGAACCTTATGTGACTTGGGGGTAAGACTTGGTGAATTCACATAAAATTGTACTTAAAGATTTTGAAGGAGGATTTTGTGGTGGCCATAGAGTCAACAGAAACCAGTTGGTGACCCAAGAACCTTAAAACATGGGGCCAGTGGAGGATGAGTCGAGAATCAGTACTGCTAATATGTTCTGCATAGTTTGAAGCAAGAGTGGCTTCCACTTCTTAAATAACATGCCTCTGGAAACTATGAACTTTGATAAAAGTCTGTGGTTATAGAGGGGCTTCAGGCCTTTTGTTCATGGGGTCGCTGTGAGTCGTGCTCAACTGGAAGGCAGTCACCAACCGGTAGCATGGAAGCTGTTCAGTTGTGTGCTAAAGCTGAGGAGAGATTCTCAGTCTTTAAGTAAAGTTTCCATCATTGCTTATATACGAAGCAAAGTTCTGGAAAAATGTTGTTGTTATGTGCTGTTGAGTCATTTGCAACTCCTAGCCACCCTCTGTACAGTAGCCATGAAATCTGCCCTAGACATGCCTGAATACATTAACCTCATGCAATAAGACACAGCAGCTTTGGATCTAATTTCTAGCTTTTGCAGCATCTTGAGCAAAGGATCATACATATAAGGCCAAAATCCTCCACTGTAAGCTAAGAGAGAATCTCTTCCCCCACGCCACCCCCATGACCATTTATATCCATAAATTCTCATTCCTGTTAATTTCATAGCTAAGGCCACCTTTGATTTTCACCTGCTCTGATAGGGCAGCTGGAATGAGCTTTCCTCCTCAGATGACTGCACAGCTGCATGGCATTGGGCCAGGGCCCAGCTGAAGCTCTACTTTGTTCTACCCCATGTAGGTTTCCAAATCTGAAGTCTGTCCGGGAACTCATCCTGAAACGTGGACAGGCCAAGGTCAAGAATAAGACCATCCAGCTTACAGATAACACAGTGATTGAGGAGCACCTGGGTGAGTGTGGCAGCCTAGGGAGGGTAGGCAGAAAATGGGGGGACTTTGGCTATCTTGATGATGGATTCCGAGAACTAGTTCAATCATGGCCAAGACAGAAAAATCAAAACACATTTGGAAAGCGTGAGGAGTGTTCCAGAACAGGAAAACGCCATTGAGGTCCTGACCAGAAGGCTTGAAAGCAACTTTCAGGACTCTCTAATTTGGAAGACTAGATTATTACCAATACCGAGGGTGTTTGCACACTCAGAGCCGTGTCATCAGGTGCCCTCTTTAAGCCAGGACCACTGTTTGCATTCTGGTGTCAAGGGGTTTGGTTGCCTTCTAACACACTGTGCCCTGCCTTTGTTTTCTTAAAGAGATTACATTTTTAGTAAGTTTTCCATTCTAGCTTACACTCACATTTTACAAGTTTGGGGACCTTCCAGTTTTGCTTTGTCAGGCATGCCACTCTTGCCAAGAATCCACCAGTGTCTGGCTCAGACATGCATGAGGTGCTCATTATATGCAGTTGTGATGTTTAATAAAGGAATCTCTGCTCTGTTTCTTAGGGAAGTTTGGTGTCATTTGCTTAGAAGACCTCATTCATGAAATTGCCTTCCCTGGCAAGTATTTCCAGGTGGTCTCACAGTTTTTGCACCCCTT